TGAATTGAGATTCAAATTCAAATTCAAACGATGAATTAACTTTGCCTTCTTAGCTTTCTTCTGCCTGAATCCGAACAAATTCTTAAATGATACCACTACAATGAGTTTGTTAAAACATTGGTTAAGAATCCAATTCAACTTTCAAAACAGATGATGAAGTACATGATGGAAAAAAGTAAATTTCATTCTACAGCCCTGTCAAGCACAATTTAGCATGACTATATTGCAAACAATGACTCTAGATCTAAGTTCCAATTCCCAAGGGAAACAGTTTTAAGATCGCATTTAGCCCAAGCACCGGAAAACATTAATTGAATACTTTTTTTCATTGATGTACTATGTAGAATGATTCTACCTTTTCAACATATATGATAAGGCAAGAAATTTTGCACGTACACAGATTTATCAAGAAGCAAAAACATGCAAAACAAATGTTGCATTATTATGATGAGGGATCTCGGAGTCCTAGTGGACAATCATTTAAATATGAGCCAGCAGTGTGCTGCAGCTGCCAAAAAAGCCAACACAGTGCTAGGCTGCATTAACAGAAGGATAGAATCAAGATCACGTGAAGTATTAATACCACTTTACAATGCCTTGGTAAGACCACACTTGGAATACTGCATCCAGTTTTGGTCACCACAATGTAAAAAAGATTGAGACTCTAGAAAACAGAGAAGAGCAACAAAGATGATTAAGGGACTGGAGGCTAAAACATATAAGGAACGGTTGCTGGAATTGGGTATGTCTAGTTTAACGAAGAGAAGGATGAGGGGGGACATGATAGCAATTTTCCAATATCTCAGAGGCTGCCACAAAGAAGAGGGAGTCAAGCTATTTTCCAAAGCGCCTGAAGGCAGAACAAGAAGCAACGGGTGGAAATTAACCAAAGAGAGAAGCAACCTAGAACTAAGCAAAAACTTCCTGACAGTTAGAACAATTAACCAGTGAAACAACCTGCCTCCAGAAGCGGTGAATGCTCCAACACTGAAGTTTTTAAGAAGAAACTGGACAGCCATTTCTCCGAAATGGTATAGGGTTTCCTGCCTGAGCAGCGGTTGGACTAGATGACCTCCAAGATCCCTTCCAACTTTATTATTATTATTATTATCGATCATCGCACAGTCAGCCAGATGTTCAGACTGGATTTGGCATTTTGTCTACCTATCGAGTCCTTACCCAGGACCTGGGATAGGCAGATGTGGATGTTTGATGGTATTACAGATATCGTCGCAGGATGGAAGCAGTTCATAATAAGGCTGCCTTTTGCAATTGACTAATAGCGAATTTGTCAATGCCAATGGTGTTCAAGTGGTGCTCCAGTTGTTTTGGGATTGCACCCAAGGAGCCTATGACTATTGGTACTACCCTTGCTTGCTTTTGCCACAGTCTTTCTATTTCTATTTGTAGGTCTTTGTATTTTGTTATCTTCTCCAGTTCTTTCTCTTCTATTCTGCTATCTCCAGGCACTGCCACGTCCACTATCCAGACTTTTTTGTCTTTCTTATCGACAATTGTTAAGTCTGGGGTGTTATGTTGCAGGTGCTTGTCTGTTTAAATTCTGAAGCCCCAGAGCAGTTTAATTTTATCATTTTCTATGATTTTCTCTATTTTATTATCCCACCAGTTTTTGCTTACAGGCAAATGATATTTTTTGCAGATCTTCCAATGCACCATTGTTGCTACTTTGTCATGCCGCTGCTTGTAGTCAGTCTGTGCAATCTTCTTGCAACAGCTTACCAGGTGGTTCACTGTTTCTTCAGCTTCTTTGCATAGGCGGCACTTACTGTCTGTTGCTGTCTTCTCAATTTTGACTTTGTATGCATTTGTCCTTAAGGCTTGGTCTTGTGCAGCCAGAATTAGTCCCTCGGTCTCTTTCTTCAATTTTCCTGCTCTTAGCCATTGCCAGGTCTTGTTATCTTGCTTTCCCAGCTATTTTTTTAATGTACTGGCCATGTAGTGCTTTGTCTTCCCATGCCTCTATTCTGTTCTTCATTTGGTCTTTCTTGTAGGCCAGTTTGGTCTCTCCAGTAGTCAGTAAGCCTTCCTGATATACTAATTTCAGTGCATCTTCATCATTGTTCTTCAGATATTCTTCCAAAGCCATTTTTTCTTCTTCAACCATCTGATGTACTTGTAGCATTCCACGCCCACCTATTTGCCTTGGTAGATAAAGTCTATCAATGTCACTGCGTGGATGAAGGGCATGATTCATTGTCATTATTTTTCTGGTCTGCCTATCCATTGCTTTTAGTTCTGCTTGAGTCCAGTCCACTATTCCAGCTGTGTACCTAATGACTGGAATTGCCCAGGTGTTGATTGCCTTTATGGTATTTCCTCCATTAAGTTTGGACTTTAAGATCTTCTTCACTCTCTTGATGTATTCACCTCTAATCTTTTTCTTGACTTCAGTGTGCTTGATGTTGTCAGCTTGAAGGATACCCAAATATTTGTAGTAATCTTTCTCATCCAGATTCTTAATGTTATTTTCGTGGGGCATCTTGATTCTTTCAGTTTTCATTATTTTTCCTTGTTTGATAGTAAGTGTGGCACATTTGTCTAAGCCAAACTCCATTGCAATATCTTGGCTATATATACGGACAGTGTTGAGCAGCGATTCTATTTCAGATGATGTTTTTCCATACAGCTTCAGATCATCCATGTAAAGGAGATGGGATAGTCTGGTAGATGTTTTTGATGTTTGATAGCCATGTCCTGAGTTATTCGGTATTGTTGACAGAGGAAACAGTGCAATAACAAATAGTAATGGTGACAATGAATCTCCTTGAAATATTCCTCTTTTGATATTAACCTCTCCCGGTCTCTCACCATTGATCTGAAATTGTGTCTTCCATTGTGCCATCGATCTTTGCACAAATTTTCTGATGTTTCTACTGACTCCTGTTATTTCTAGGCACTTGGTTATCCAGTCATGTGGCAGAGAGTCAAATGCCTTTTTGTAGTCAATCCATGCCACATTCAGGTTGGTCTTCCTTCTCTTGCAGTTTTCCAAGATCATTTTGTCTATTAGGAGTTGATCTTTTGTTCCTCTGCTATTGGGGCGGTTTCCTTTCTGCTCAGGTGGAAAGAGATTGTTTTCAACTAGATGCTGTTGTACTGCATCAGCTACCACACCAGTTAGTAATTTGAAAGTTGTTGGTAAGCAGGTAATTGGCCTGTAGTTACCTGGTGTTGCCCCTTTTGCTGGATTTTTCATTATTAGGTAGGTTTTCCCAGTTGTTAGCCACTTTTCAATTTCTCCTCCTTGTAGTATATTGTTGAACTGTTTGGCAATGAGTGGGTGTATAACAGTTAGATGTTTCAACCAAAACCCATGCAGTTCATCTTCACCTGGTGCTGACCAATTTTTGATTTTCTTTGCTCTTTTTTCTACCATTTTTGTTGTTATTACTAGTTCTTTCATTTCAACTTCTGTTTTATTTGCATCCACCTCTTTTAACCAAGCCGCATCCTTGTTGTATTTCTTTGGGCTATCCCATATCTGCTTCCAGAACAGCACTGTTTCTTCGTTGTCAGGTACTGACTGATTCATTGCAGTTTCTCCATTGATGGATTGGTAAAAATGTTTCTGATTGGATTGAAATTGGAAGTTCTGCCTATAGTTTGCAATTCGAGCTTCATATCTACATTATTATTATTATTATTATTATTATTATTATTGTTGTTGTTGTTGTTGTTATTGTTATTACTATTATTATTATATAAGCTTTGTAAGAAATAGTTTGCTATATTTCATAATTGAATGCAGTTATTTAAGTTGTATATTAAAAAATAAAGTCAAGGATAGACTATATTAACAATGTTAAAATTAATTATAATGTAGAAAAGAAGTCATGACCTGCTGATTAAAGTGTAGAATATGAAAACAACTGAACAACATACTTTTTAATGACAAAATAACACACGTTCCTATTTAATCTCTGAAAATGATTGATGAAAATTCCAAGGTTGACACAATCTTAATTTTTATTCCTGTTTCAGATTTGAAACAAAGTAATTTAATCAGAACTAATTCAGTATACATAAAATCATTCCTTCATTCATTTCTGCTGGTTTCTCTTTCACTCACACCCTTCCAATATAATGCACTAACTTTTTTTACTATAACTATGTAAACATAGACCTTTCAAATTCATATCCTCAAAATAAATACATGCATACTTTCAGTACATCTCAATAATCAAGAATGTCATGTTTTCTTTTCCAGCCTAATAAACTTAATTTCATTTCAATTGCATTTTCTGTTTCTATTATTTTAATATGACTATATCATATTTGCTTAGAATTAATTCTCATTGTGTTCAATGGGGCTTACTCCCTAGAAGGCGCATTTAGAATTGCAACTTCCACTGAAAAAAAAGCTACATATTTATATCCAATTACAATACAAATAAAGAAAATGTACTGTCAACATATCCCCACACAAAAATAGTAATTAAAAAGAAACTACCCTTCATAGTTTCTATGAAAAAGCACCAACAATAATATTATTCAAATCAAGCTAATTTTTTCTTATTCTTTCTTCAGAGACTCACCTGATCTACCTGATCTTCATTCAGAGACTTTTCTTACTTCCTATCTCTTATAATAGTATTCCAATTTGTGTTAATCTACAAGGGCAAACTGTTAAATTAAGTGCTAGCATATAAGCAATAAAAACTTTTTACACTGATTCAGTTTACTATCTTGCACTGAAAAAGAAGGTCTTTTCAAACTTCACAATCTTTGGCCTTAAGCTTAAAGCCTCACATCTTTCCAGTCAATAATGAATTACAATGCCACCCTAGAAATATTCTCAGACCTTGCCTGTTTTTTCCAGTTTGAATGTCCGAATGGCTGATTCATGCTTCCATTATATCACAATTATATTTTTGTTTGGTATCCCTGTGTCTCTTACCAGTCATCTGCAGATGGTCTAAAAGCCACAGAACAAACTGTACCTCACATTAGTTCCATTTTATGGAATACATTCCACTTACCACAAGGCACAGACACTTTCACACAAGTTTTAAAGATCCTTCTTTTGCCACTTATTTATTCTGAATGCCGAAAAACGAGGTCTCAGTTTGTTGCTTCCTCTGAGTCTAAATACATAAATACAAAGGAAAAATTGGGTTTACCTTACAGCTATTAATTCTGTTCTCAGAAGAATTTGCACACTTACTAGTCCGAGCTGCCAGATAACCAAGGTATTATAACTTCACATTGAACACTATGGTGAATTTTATTCAGCCCATTGTGGTACAATTATATTACAAATGAAGCTGTATGGACATTAAAAAATTAAGAAAAGTTAACAGAAAACTAATTTCTAAAAGATAAATGGTAAAAATGAATTATATAATTTATATTTTAGGCAATTTTACAATGAGATTTTATTTCGATGTGGGGAAAGGTTTGGGTGTAATAACAGAATGTTAAGTAGTAAAAATGTATTTTCCCTGGAGAGATCACTTATTTGGGATTTGTACAGAAACTGACATGTTGACTTAACCGTTGTTCTACCTCAGGGGTCCTCAGACTTGGCCCTTTTATGACTTGTGGACTTTAACTGCCAGAATTCTTCAGCCAGCATTCCTGGCTGAGGAATTCTGGGAGCTGGTCCATAAATCATAAAGGGACCAAGTTTGAAGACCCCTGTTCTATCTGGATATTCAAGGCCAGGGGTAGGCAACCTTGGCTCTTTTATGACTCGTGGACTTCAATTTCCAGAATTCTTGAGCCAGCCATGCTGGCTCAGGAATTCTGGGAGTTGAAGTCTACGAGTCATAAAAGAGCCAAGGTTGCCTACCCCTGTTCAAGGCTGTTCAGAAATTCTCATTGGTTTTGTTGCTTTTAATGTTCCAATGTCCTCCTTTTATTTGAGACGATTATCAGAGTAGGACATATTGGAAGCCCACTAGATAGGTAGTTACCTATATCTGGGATAGCTGTGGTGTATGGACAACATAATTCACTGTGCAATTATTATCTTAGGATCCAGATGTTGTCTTATTTCTCACATAGGTAAGCAAGTCCTAGGATTCTTATCAGAGACTTTACCTTGAGCAATTCACCTCCAAAAGGCTATCAGCTGTAATTCATTACTCAAACTCAATCATCAGTGCTAGTAAGGACTGCAGTTTGCTTTCAGTTTATATGCTGGTGGCTTGCCCTGTCAGTGTTGGTGGGGGTGATCTTAGAGATTCTTTGGTTGGGTTGTTCACTGTTTGCTCTTTGGTAATTTCTTGATTGGAGTATTGTTTACTTGTTGTTGATTTGATGTTAACTTGGAGTTAATCTATGCGGATCTGGGTGCTGATTGCTGGTGGAAAGGTGCTTGGGTCTTTTTGTTCCCTTTTGGGCTGGGTGATAGTTTCTTTTAAGATAAGATAAGCTTTATTGTCATTTTTTTACTGTGGGTACAACGGCACACATCAAAAATGAAATTTAGTTGCCTGCTCTCAAAGTGAAACACATACATGACACACCCTAAAAACATACTATATACAACATATGTATAGACCACACCCCTACATATACATAACAAATAAATATTAAATACTGTCCATCTTGAATATATAACGTAAGGAGGAAGCTTGAGAGTTCACAAGGTTAATGCCATACGGAATGAAACTATGAATCTGGATGTTCTGCTGTGGATACCATGGAGCCTTCTCCCAGAAGGTAACAAGGAAAACAGGTCGTGAAGAGGATGTATAGTGTCCCAGATAATCTTTTGCATAATGTGTAGATGTTGTTAATGTCTATGTATCTATTGATGGCTGATTTGTCAGAGTACCAGGCTTTTAGAAATTCTCTGATGTTTTTGCACTTGGCTTGGTCTTTCCCAATTGAAACTATGGTTAAATCTGTCTATATGTTGTGAAATTAAAGAATTTTCATTATGTCTTCTGACTGCTAGTTGATGTTCATGGATGCATTCTGCCAGTCTTCTATTTGTCCTACCCAATGGTTGTTGCAGTTGTTGTTGCATAACATCCTTAGATGTAGAGGACTCCTATTTTTTCTTCTGGGGTTGTTGGATCTGCTTAGGATGTATTGAAGGATTTTAATTGGCTTGTGTGCTATGCTGATTCCATGTGGTTGTAGGAGTCTGTAATCTATCTTATGTAAAAATACTGTATTAAGGATCAAACAGATAGATTACATCTTTACTGAAGAGGGATCCCATGGTCCAAGAATGATGAAAATTATTCCTAGTGGCATAATTCAGATGATGACAGACAATTGGTTCAGCTTACCTAATCAGTGCCTCTTAATATTTTACACTCAGTATTTACTCTTGTTAAATGGGAATCCCAACTTTTGTTTTAACAAAATCATTAGAGGTTTTTGGAACCTTAAATGGGAAAATCTTTTTCAAAGTTTCTGATAAGTATTGGTGGCCTAATATGTTATTTACCACAGTGGATGACACTGTGATTTATTGATTCTTGTGATATTAAAGTAGCCTGGGTTATTGACAGTAGATTGGCAGTGATTTTGTACCCTCTTGCTCTGTTCTGAGTACTGGAGAAGCTATGAATGTTGTGAAGGGAACGGAATTTCAGGAATCAAAAATTCACAAATTTATCTCCATTATACATATTTTTCATCTGCCACTGAAGTTTATGCTTCTTAAATAATAACTGTGCATGAATTAACTGATACTTCATAGGCTGCCTTAAAAATTGGGTCTGTCTTTCTAGACTTGGATATCTAGAAAGAATTTCAGTATTAGTCTCCAACCTATATGTTTTACCTGTACATATATAGGTAACAGCCTACATAGATGTAGTCTTTGCTCAACAACTGGTAAGATAATGACTGTTTGAAGTTACAACAAACTTCAAAAAAGCTACTTATGACCAATAGCTTACTGCCACACCCACAATGGTCATGTGGTCAAGTTTCAGACATTTGGCAATCAGCTTGCATTTACAATTGGTTGCAGTGTCCTGTAGTCACATGACAACAATTTACATATATTTTTTGCTATGTTATAGCAAAAAACATCCATTGTATATGCTGGATTTGATTAATAATCATATTTTTCACTTAACAACTAGATGATTTGCTTAACAACCATTGGATCACTTAACAACCACATGATTTACTTAACAACCACAATGACTTATTGACCATTGTAAAAATCGTAGTAAAATCGAGTCATGCGGTGAGCTACTTAACAAATGCAATAACTAAAATTCCTGGCTGAACTGTGGTTGTAAATTGAGAGCTAATTGTATATGCATAACATGTACATAGACTCTTATAAGTACAGCAGAATAATTATTTGAGACATATCATCCCCTTGGTCTATTTTGTAACATTCATAAATGTTTACATTTATAAAAGAGGTACATGGTGGAGAATCTGTACTAAACTAGCACTCAAAATTCATAGAGCAAACTTGTTTAGTATCTGTAGATATATGAATCAATTTTTTAAAAGAAATATCAGCTTAATACAGTTGCTTACAAAAATTTGCATGAAAATTTCTGATAAAAACAGAAATTAATAATATTCAAGGAAGAATTTAAATTGGGTCAACTTACAAATGATACTTCAGCACTGTAGCACTGAATAGATAAAAGATATAAGTATGTTATTAGAAATCGCTACATAGGATGACCACAACTCAGCCTTGCATCTTAAGCCTCGAATAAGTGACTCATATACATCTTTTTGACACGTAAAGACATAAAATAAGCATTTGTGGGGAAAGTCCTGTTTTTAGCCCCTTTTTCAATAATTATTTCCAGATAGATTTAATTTTTTTTCCAGCCAGAACTATCCAGGGATTTATTTATTTATTTTTAAAAAAGACTTGTCCATTTGATTCCTGGAGTCTGCCTGGACAAGTCTCTGAAGATTTTTTTGACAAGTTGTTGGAAATTCAGGAGTGGTTTGCCATTGCCTCTTCTCTAGGGCTGAGAGAAAGTGTCTGTCTTTATGCTTAACTGGTGTTGTGCTTAAGGCCAGATAGAAATCAAGGTCTCCATGTTTCTAGCCTGATGGCTTAACAACTATACCAAAATGGTTCTCTTCCATTAGACCTGCATAAGAGAAAAACAAAACAAGTGTCTCCCACAGAATGTATCTTGATAACACCATATTCCAGGAAGAAGAGAATCAATAATCAAAACAAAATTTAAATTGCAAAATGTCATTTACACAGTACAAAGTAGCCCTCTGTACCTCTTGTGATGATTAAATTCAACATCTTTTATCCAGGTATATTAGAATTAGTGTTATTTTGGTTATTTTCAGAACAGAACTGCTAGTGATTTATACTTTTTAAAAATCTATATTGCACATTACTGGAACTGCTTCTTTAATTTTATCAGACATTTCAGAAATTTGAAATACACACAAACACATATCCAAATGAAATTAATACATTAAGGAATTGCTGGCTTAAATCTACAAATAATTCTTAAAAGATTCCCAGGAATATAATGTTTTATATTTGTTCAGGAGATTTGTCCATTAAAGTATATCCATAACTAGTGAAACATAGAGTGTGTATTCAGTCAGTAGAACAGACTCTGTCCTCAGGTAACCTCAAACAGCTGCCTTCAGCAAAAAGCGCTGTCTCTTCTTAGTCTCTGAAGCACTTAGTTCTCTCACATTCCTCCCTTTAGGAATGACAGTAATGCAAAACAGACCCTTCCTGTTGGTTGAGGAAGTGTCAATGCAGCACAACATCTAACAGCAGTGCTGAACTTTTGTATGTTATAGATATGTGTTAAAGATGTATCTAAACCTTCCATTTGCTAAAAGAGAGGAAGCCCTCAAACACCTGGCTTCTGTTAAATATGCCTTGGGATTTGATTATGTTTTCATTTCAAATATATTGCTAAAAAGATTTAACAAATGTGTCAGAAGCATCACAATTAAAATAAGGCATACTATAGGATATAAAATTTAAAATATAAAATCCAAGATTTAAATATGTACAAGTTGGAGATCTTGCCCAGAAACTAGCAACATTAGTTGTATTCTGTTGCATTGCCATGAGGTCTTAAAGTGTATACTCATCAGGGTACAAAGGGCAGGTATACGGTATGTGTTGTTTGCATATCATCTCAAGCAGAAA